TCTATCTCACACACACACACACACACATATACAGTCATCGTCGTTGGTGCATAATACTTTATAATATACGAGGGATTTCAAAAATGACTCGTCATGCGGCGTAAATACTTAACGGCAGGGCGCATCCTCATCGGTCTCTGCAGTTTCTCTTTCTCTCTCACTCTCTCTCTCTCTCTCTCTTGTTCTCTTTCTTTCTTTCTCTTTGAGACTTTCATGACTGCTGCACCTGATACTTTCATTCCCCTTCTCTTTTCGCAGCTTGATGAATTTCTTTTTTAATCAGCCGAACCCCGCGTGGACGGCAAACCCCAAAAGGATGGATGGATGGATGGATGGATGGATGGATCTCACCGTCACCTGTACACCAACCTCTATCTTTATTTTCCCTTTTTCATAAACTTTTTATCAGGTTTTGCGATTCGTAACGCGAATCATGAAAAAAGAAATTCAAAAAAGAACCACCAAAAAAAAAAAAAAAACGAATACTCGTAACACGCGCTTCACAACCGGCCAACTGAACCAAATGCATTTTCGAATTATCAACTAAAGTAGTTGAATCAAACCGTGCATGTATACGTGTATATATATATATATATGTGTAAAAAGGTAATAGTAAAAGTGTTGTGGAAGGGATAAAGAGGAAAGGGTAAAAGAGAAAAAAATTGGCATGGAAATAATTCCGCGAGTATGGGATCGTTAAGAAAAGAGGGACTAGAGGGTACCCAGCTTTTAAAAAGGGCCCGATCTTTTTTTATTCTTTTTTTTTTTGTATTTATATAAAAAGATGAAACGAACCCTCGGAAACGAAACGAAACGTTTCACGATCGATTCGCGACGATTCACGCAAAGTTTCGAGAGTAATTAATCGTACGTCGACCTACCAACATCTCTCACCCCATTGGTATTTTCAACGTATTATATATATATATATATATATATATATATATACGTGTGTGTATGTGTATATATGTATAAAGAAAGAAAGAGTTGAGAAAAGAAGAGAAGAGACAGGGGTATAGAATAAACGAGAGACGAGAATAATGAGCGCGGTGATTCGGTATTAAAAGATCAGAGTAACGTAATACCTGGGCCTCTTCCAGTCTGCTCATTCTCGTTACACACCACCATAACCTCCTTCTTACCCCCATAACCCTACCCCCCACTCTTATGTGTTGTTTTTTCCTTTTCTTTTAATAAAAATCGACATGAGTATAAAAAAAAGGGCTGAAACATCCGCCGAGTTTCAGGCACGCACGTCAATGCTTTAGTTTGGGTCTTGAATGAGGAGAGTGGGGGTAAGGATCGTCGGCTTAAAAAGGTGATTGGTTGAAAGAAAACGTGAGCTTTCGGCTCGCATAATAAGCTCGTGCTGCGGGTTAGTGTAGTATTATATGAAAGAATAAAAAAACAAAGTAAAAAGACAAAGAGAAGAAGAGGTGGAGGAAGAGGAGGAGGAGGAGGAGGAGGAGGAATGAACGGTTTCTTGGGGTTCATAATTAAAACGCGTCGTCGACTGTCTCTTATTTAAAATAAAGAACCTGGTAAAGGGATAGGAAGGAAAAAAGAGAGAGAATATAAGTGTGGGGGTTCGATTACCATGTCCAAACGTGTTCCTAAACCAAACCCAACGTGAGAGTTGTTCACCTCGAATTATTTCACTCTATGTTCGAATTCTGTTTGTTTCTTACAACCCTTATTCTTTCTTCTGATTTCTATAGATGATATTAAAAAAATTGGAAGCTATTATGTAACTAACTATCTATGATTTATGTATAACTATTTTTTTTATTTACACTGATTATTAATAAGTGATTGAATAGTGTTATGTATTAGGTATTTTTGTTGTACACGTATTTATATGATTGACTATTTTATAATATATTCGATTTATAATTGTGAGATTTGATATAAAAAGAAATAAAGGGTGGGTTTATAATTTTTGGAAAATATTAGTTGTATTTGTAGACATATTTATATGGTACACATATGTATTTATCAAAGGTAGTATTTATATAATTAAATATAATATATTCAATTAAATTAAATATTATATTAAATATAATATAATTATTAATTATATATATATATATATATA